AATATCACACAGGCCAATAAATAGGGCCCCAGCTAATACAGCCGTCACACAGGAGCTTTCTCACCCCATCGACCCGTGGTAAGAGGGCGGGTTACTGCACACATGAGTGGATGCAAACGTGGACCCTATAGGGTAAATGTCAGGGAACAGGGTGCGATTGGATCTTGGGACCTTTGGGTGCTGTTTGACCCTCTGACTTTGTGGGTGCAGCGTGGTCATGCTGTTTGTCTTTGGATGGGATCGATATGAAATGTAGGAGGAAAAGTAGTAGTAGTAGTAGTAGAAGTAGTAGTAGCTTACAAACATATAGAGTATGCATGTTAGTTCATCACAGTTTATAGTATTTTGAAAATGCAATAATCTTGGCCAAATACGTGAATTTAATGTGTGCTTTTTTTCTAATTCAGAAATCAGATGACTTGTTTCCCTTATTATGTAATCCACGGGTATTATAGATTATAACTATATACTTGACAAAAGCACAATGTCTTCTTGCATTGCATTAAATTACCATACATAAAGTCTGATCTCATCTAGTTCCAGTAGGGACAGCAATAGACATTTTCCTAATAATAATAACATACAATCAAAGTCACAGATGCCCTGGAGCCGACTGCCAGAAGTGGCTGCCAGTTTGTCCTGTTCCTGCTAGGCAAATAATCACACACATGTTCATATAGCATAGGTGGGTGAAGTATCTGGCCCAATGACACAACAACATACATCAAGACCATCACAGAATTTTTTTGATAAATCATGCAAAAGCAGATGGTGTATTCTTTCAACAGATTAGTGATTATAAATGAATAAGAGACAAACTGTACTTGTGGTCAGTGACTAAGTGAGCAACTTAACTTAATGAATTAAACAGTGACTTGTGTATTGTACAGAAGAGAGAAGGAGCAGAGAGGACAGTGGAGGAGTGGAGTCATTTGGACCTCTCTCTCTCTCTCTCTCTCTCTCATTCTTTCTCTCTCTCACACACACACACTCACTGTTTCCCTCTCTCTCACACATGCACACTCATTCTTTCTCTCTTTTTTGTCCCTCCTCCCTCACTCCTCTCACACACTCCTCTCTTTCAAAGATCCATTCTCCCCATCCCTCCCTCTTCCTCGCTTTTGTCGCACCTTCTTCTTTCCTCCTCTTCTCTCTCTCCTGGTCCCACCTGCATCTCTTCCCTCTCTCACACACATGCTCAGCCAATTTTCTTTCTCCCTCCCTTTCTTCCCTCTACTTCTAATCTTGCTCACTCGCTTGCTCCTTAAAATCTTTTCCCTAACTATGTCCTTACCCCCATCCCTTCATCTTATCTCACTCTACTCTTTCTTTCTCACACATGATCTTTCTTTCTCTGCCATCCACTCTCTCACTCTCTCTCTCCTTCTCTTCTCTTCCCTTCCATTCCTTTCTTTCTACCCTATCTCTCCCTTTATGTAGTCTCTCTCTTTCTCTCACTCACTCAGTCTCACTCACTCCTCTCTCCATCTTTCCATTTGTCTCATCCTCTTCTCTATCTTTCTGTTTAACGGTCTACTCTCCTTCTTTTCCTTTCCAAGTCTTTCTCTCTCTCTCTCTCTCTTTCTCTTACACACACACACACACTCACACACACCCACACACACACACACACACACACACACACACACACACACACACACACACACACACACACACACACACACACACACTTTATCTCTCGCTCTTTTCTTTTCTCCTCTCTTTTTTCTTTCTCTTCCTCCCTTATTCTCCCACCCTCTGCTCTCTTTCTCCCCATCTCTATCTCTTCCTTTCCATCTCTTTCTTTCTACCCTCATTCTTCTTTCTCTTTCCTCTCATCTTTTTCTTGTGTCTCTTTCGCCTCTCATCTTTCTTTCTATCTTCTCTCTCCTCTTTTCTACTCTCCTTCTGTTTTTCTCTTCTCTGCAGATCCTCATGCAGATAATATGTGTCATTAACCTGATTTTCCAGCCAGGCTTCAGCACACTCACCCTTCACCCCTCTCTCTGTCTCTCTCTCTCTCTCCCTTTCTACTCTCCCTCTCTCATCCTCTTCTCTATCTGTCTCCTTCTTTTCCATCTCTTTCTTTCTACCCTCACACTCACCCTTCACCTCTCTCTCATACACTTTTCCCCACTCTCTCTCTCTCCCCTCTTTCCTCTCAGAGCATCGGCAAGGAGCGAGCTTGCGGCTGATGATACGGTCGCCACAGCAACGGAGGCAGTAAGGGCCAGGGATGGAGGGAGGGAGGGAGGAGGGAGTGGGGGGTAATGATTGTGGTGGTGGTGGTGGTGGTGGTGTTGTGTGTGTGTGAGGGGGGCGCACCAGGTGGAGTCACGGAGAGCAGTCAAGAGCCATTTACGCACGTGTACAAGTCAAGTTCAAGACAGAGAGAGAGAGCCAGAGGAGAAGAGAGAGGGAGAGATAGCTTGTGTAAGGGAGAGAGAGAAGAGTGAGGGTAAATGAAAGATGGAAGAGAAGAAAAAGAAAGAAGGTTAAGTAGAAAGGGAGAGAGAGAAGACGTAAGAGAGCAAGGGGTGGAGAATGACAAAGAGGGAGTAGAGTGAGATGGAAGGGAAGGAGGGCGCTTAGGAGAGAGGGAGAGAGTTAAAAAGGAGAAAAGAGAGACACATGCAGAAAGAGAGAGAGAGTGAGTGATGGTAGAAGAAGAGAGAAAGAAGAGCGAAGGAAGAGAAAAAGGGAGGGAGGAGGCAGACAAATGGAAAGTGTGTGAGAGAGGGATGAAGAAAGATGAAGGTGACACAGGGAGAGAGAGAAGGGAGAAGAGAAAGAGGTGTGACAGAGAGAGAGGGAGAGGAGAGGTGAAAGGGTAGTAGGCTAAGTCTGATATGGGGCTATAGAAGGTATTTTTGCAAAATGTAACTACGAAGTCATGGAGGTGAAAAGAAATAGTTGTTCAAAAAAAAAAGTACAATGATATTAGAATAATAATTGAAGTAGTATGCAAGTTTAGTGCCACGGTGAAATATCCTTGGCAATGGCAAAGCAATTTTATCTCCACGGACACAGGAATGTAGAGGACCCTCCACCAGGAAAGTTACATTGTCTACCTTTAAATACGTCATCCTAAAACCTAAAATATTTGCTTTGGATCAACTTATAATTAAATGGAACGGTGACACAATGTATCTATAAAATCCCTCAGTTGTCCAGGTATAGCAAACACAAAATAATGTGTATGTGACATAATGTATTTATTCACTTTACTTTTACACTTTTTTGAGTGCAGTTGACATTTGTTAATAAATACATGCTTATTTTAGAGAATTAACATTTACCGCCTACTGTCCTTTGTTAGATATTACAAAAATAAGCAGCGTAATCTGGTTTATTCAGTGGCTTTTGAAAGGTTTGCTGGTACTTCTTTGTAGCTATAAGTACAGGCCACTTCCCTTCTCTTATTTGACTGATAGAAACAGTGACAAGCTGCTTTATACACACTAGTTCAATCATTTATTAGCTGCATAATTCAGACAGTCCCATCACACCATCACAGCTTCCCTAAAGCACATTGTTGAATCTAACCCCTCTCTCTCTCTCTCTCTCTGCTCTCCTCCTGTCAGCATTTAATCATTGACCACGGTCTGAGCCCGGGTCACAGAGGGGTCAAAGGTGAGGGTCAGAGGTGAGAGGTGAAACACGCATCAGTGCCGGGTCAGCCCCTGTGCTCACTGTTTTTGACATTATAGCTCACATCATTGCCTTCACAAATCCATGGTATCCTGCAGTGTTCTTTGGTAAAGACTGTAAAATGGAGACTGGATCGCATTTGCAGTTTTTTTTTGGTATTAGTTTGAGAAATTACTACTAATAAAACTCAAAATATTATTACCACATTTCTGAAACTGGGGAAAAGGAAAAAAGCTCTCTGAAAATGGGTGAAATGGGTAAAATTATTTGAATTCATAAAATTAATCTGGACTGAGTAGTATTGGTAAATTGCTTCTGTAATCTGGGTTATTGAATTTTTGCTGGAATGTTCCACAGTATGGTATTTTTCCAAAAATTACATTGAAAAACATGCATTCTGACTTCTTGTCTCCAAGGAAATAGATAAGTAAGACTTACTGTGGAACATATTTTTTTTTAGATAATGTGAGAAACAAGTCCATCAAGTGAATAAATCTACTTGTCAAAACTACTCTAAACCTATACACTAAATAACGTTTTGTGTGCAGGTTTTAAATCAACTGCCAAACATTTAAAAATCCCATTCAGAAAATACACAAAAAGCTGTAAACAAAACTACAAATGAAATATCAAAGAAAAAGGCGTACTGTTTTTGCCTCTTGGTCCACACATAACTCTGTGTTTAACATGGACCTTCACACACACACACACTCTCACTGTGGGTGTCACTTTGATTTCTCAAGCGACATGTCCACCATCCTCCCACTCTGTTGCATCCACTGGAGTCTATTTAGACATGCACCCACTAACCCCAAGGTTCATGGTTCAGTTTCCGCTACGGTCATGACATAATGCTGTTCTAAATATGGGCTCTATCCAATTTTGTTGCTATTCATGCTGTGCTGTTTATTTTTTAACCTGGCTGACCCTGTTGGCCATTCATAATTTAATTAAATAAAGTTACTGACATAGAAATGCAGTTTTCATTAATTTTCTCCACAATAAATTATAATATATAAAAAAAAACTACAGCTCACTGTATATCATCATTCAATTAAAACTCATTTCAGCCAATTATAAGCTAAAGTCATCACTATTTATTTGGTTTTCAGTAGCCGTTGAGTGCTTGCCCACTAACCCAGAGGTTGCCTATTTAATCCTTCTTCCCACTAATGCAATGGTGTCCTTGGGCAAGACACTTCCCCCCAGTGTCTACCTACACTATTTTACCTGTGTGTGACCTATTGCTTAATGCAAGTTTTTATTTTACTTTTTTTTTTTTAATACATTTACAATCTATGTAAACAAAGTGAATGAAGTGAGTGAATGAAGAATAAATCGTGAAATACCTGGAAGGTAGAAGTGTTGCGATTTTAATCCAAACATGGCCAGAGACCACAAAGTATTTCAGAACCTCCTTGTTGTCAGTTTAAGTCGTCAAACCATCTTCTCCCAGAGTTGAGAGGGAGAATAGAAACAGCTTCTTAGGTCTAGTCCTTTTCTTTTCTTTTCTTTTCTTTTCTGTGCCACGCTTTGTAAATCCCTTCTTCTTTTTCATTCACCAGCGCCGCTTGGTAGTGTAATGATCTTCTACTATCTACACAATCCCACTACTACTGAGGAGAAGAGAGAGAGAGGGAGCAAGCAGGAAAGAGGGAGGAGAGAGTGAGGAGAGGAGGGGTGGGGAATCCATCATAAGACAGATGAGAGAAGGAGAGGGTGGAGGAAGAGAGGGGGTGATTGAGTTGGAAGTTGGTATGGCATGCACGTGGCTGTGTGTGTGTGTGTGTGTGTGTGTGTGGGGGGGGGGGGGGGGGGGGGGGGTGTGTGTGGGGGGGGGGAATATAGACCCTCCCAGAAGAACTGTTTGTGATGGTGTCATAATGAGTCATTAGGAAGGGATGGATCACAAAATAAACAGAAGGGAAATAGTCAAATGTGTGAAATCTGAAGAAGGAAAATTGGAAATGCATGTTAACTAAAAGTGTATTGTGAAAACTGTAAAATACTAGTCCAGAGATTCTTGTAAAGTGCAATCAAATGATCAACCAAATGTTTGAAAAAGAAAGTTGGATCTAATATAGTTGGTCTTACATCAAACATAGAGGAGATCCTTCACCACAGTTGGGGCAACCTCTCAGATGCAAAGGGATCCCTGGATTATTATAACAGTGGCTCTGTCGATGTGGACATTCATTCCAATGCATTTTGGAGTTGTGCCCTTAGGCAAGGCATTTCACCAAACTCGTGTGTATGAAAGATAACTAAGGAGTGATTTCATCATACCACATATTGTAAAGAACCTGCCTAAACTGCTGAAGCTAGCGCATAATTGTGACGATATTACATTATAATATGTCTACTTTGTCACATAATGGGAAAAAGAAAACTTACTCAGTCCAGATACAGAAAGAGCAAAACATGGTGTGCAATAGATTCAAAAATAAACCAATACTTTCTCTTAATGCTATATAATTTATATATTTGTTTAAGGATTTTGGGATGCTTGTACTGAGACAGGGCAGATATAAGCAAAACAGAGGTGAAGAATGAGGAGAGACATTCAACAAGCATTCAAAACGATTTTCATACTCTTGATGGTATTTATTTATTCATTCATTTATTTATTTATTTATTTATTCTTTTGAGACAGGGACAGTGCACAATTTTTACATTAACCTTTTTTACAGGAGAGATGCAATGTACATCAAGTTGTAGCATCAGTGCTAATTTCCATCTGTAGTCCCTGGGCAGATTCATTGATTGGTTGTATTTAACTGACCTTGGCTATAAACTGTTCTTGGAGACCTATGTAGCATGTTTTGGGTTGATGGGGTAAGGTAAGAGTGGGAATGGTAAGGCCAGTATATTAATAATCACTTTATTCATCCCTGAGGGGCAATTTTAATATGCACCTCAACCTAACCATCTATTGTGCAACACTGTCTTGTATAAGTGAAAACTACAGAGCCAGCATGTGAGTGAGGGACTGAGGGAGGAGAGAGTGTTGATATTCTCCTCATTATCAGTAGATTGAAGCGTGGCGGCCTGGCTGACAAATGATTGATCATGGCACAGAGGAGGAGTGTGCATCCACAAGGACTACTCTGTATCCCATACCCTACTGCATCCTGCTCTCTCGTATAAATGCATCTTACCACTATGACGTAGGTTTAGCTATACATTTGTGGATAATGACAAATAGGTCTGGTAGGCAGAAGTGTGGCATTTTTAAATGTCCTGTAATCTATATTTTCCATATATTTGAGCAAAATTTGCACAGATGCATCGTATAAGCAGCTCTTGAGGTCAAAATAACTAGGAAGCATTTTATTCTGTCATAATCAGGAAGCACACGTTAGAATGTCAGTTGTTGTCAGCTTTACCTCTTTAACTTTGCACTGGTCTCTGAGTGCTTATTAAATTGTTGCAGTGAATAATTAGGATGTTAGAATACATATGTAACAAAGTAATAACTTTGGACCACTGCAAACCATTTAAAATGAACTAGTTCTGTCTTTCATGCTTTGAAGACCTCTGTCCTTAAATACTATTACTCTATACCCTATATACACCATCCTACCACATCCTCCTCTCTAATATAATGCACTTACCACAATGTAGGTCTAGATCTTACAGCATGTGTGTGTGTACGTGTGTGTGTGTGTGTGTGTGTGTGTGTGTGCGTGTGTGTGTGTGTGTGTGTGTGTGCGTGTGTGTGTGCGTGTGCACGCGCATGTGTGTGTGTGCGTGCGTGTGTGAGCATCTCTTATATGTGTGGGTATTGGTCACATGTTGTCACTGATTGGACAGGCTTCATATGTCTGACACATCAGGTTAGTCGTGCACTTCATCAATTACTGTCCACCATGTCTACTGCTCATCAGAAATCATCCAGAGCTCAAGTGTGGAGAAATGCAGAGACAAAACTATATGCATGTAATGCTCTCAGGCTCTGAGAAACATGCTCCAGAGAGTGCACATTTATGAGTGTATTCAGGATCAAATGGTTTCCACCTGAAGATCAAGAGGACCTTGTGGAGTTCTTCCCCAGCCTTCTGGAGACCATCACTGATCTCAGTGTAGAAGAACTCTGCAATCTCTTCCCTCCTGGATCCAAGGAGCATGAAGACCCCAGCAGACTGGAGTCTGCTGCCCCTGCTCTTCAGCCTTCCTGAGGACATCATTCAGTACATCTAAGAGGAACCAAAAGAGGAACCTAGGGCAAATATGCCCACCCTCCGTACGACTTCAGACCTGCTCACAGTGACTGTCCTCCCTGAGGTAGTATTCTCTGAAGGTCTGTGTGACCCACAGCCAGTGGAGCTCACTCATTCTGCTCCTGTGAATGCCCCTGCTCTTCAGGAGACCCCCTGACTCAAGAACATCCCAGTACTGGAGAAGATTCCAGGACTTGAGGAAATCAAAGAACTTGAAGAGATCCCAGGACTTGAGCAGGTTCCAGGACAGATTAGGCAGATTACTGCAAACTTTCCTAACAGATTCTAGCATCCCACTTATTCACAAAGACAAATTTATAAGCACTTTTCACAACTTTTAGAGGCTAGAGTGGAGTTTTGCTGTCTTGGTAACACTAACAGTAGTTAGCATACCAACAGAGCACCATCCTGGTTCACAGAGGATAAGCACACTTCATAATTAGATGTAGACAGTACACAAGTCTAATTTTGACCCCAAGAGCTGCTTTTACAATATATCTACTTAATTAATGATATAAATGCATTTTACTTTCTATATAAAAATGGGTATAGCCCCTTTAAACCTATAGCAGACCCTACTCATCTCCTTTGAGTTGGTTTAACCTGATTCTGTGCAGCTTCTCTGACATCCCCCACCTCCCCTTATCTCTTCCTCCAGTGTGTGGCGTGTGACAGTTTGTGGTGGGCTGAAGTTTCCCCTCTGCCCCTCCCCCTGTCTCTCCCCCTCTCTCTCCCACACAGCTGTATGTAGCTTTGTTTATGTGTGTTTGTGTGAAAGTGAGGCCTCTTCTGTATACACTGCCAGGCCCCTATCCAGCAGTCTGTCCTCATTGATTGTGCCCTGACAGACGCGGTTATAGATAGCCCCACGATCCATCTTATCTCCCCCACACTTCCTCCTTCTGAACACAGAGAGGAGAGAGAGAGAGAGAGAGAAAGAGAGAGAGGGAAGAGACAGACAGAGAGAGAGAGAGAGAGAGAGAGAGAGAGAGAGAGAGAGAGAGAGAGAAGCTATAAATATCAAATGAAAGCATATGAGGAGTTCTGTCAAATTATTACAAACATATTTACAATGGTTTTAGATAGAAGTTTCTGTCTTTACCAAAGAGCAATAGTGACTTTATTCTCTTTTTTTTAAAGAATTTTTTGAAAAATTATATCCAATTGCAATCTATAGTAATCGGAATTTCCATGTTTCTGTTAGAGCTAATTATTCGAAAAAATTCACTGTCACTGATATTGTAGCTATTTTGAAATTTAAAAAAAAATGCATTTAGTAATATATTTTGTGAATGTTTACAGTGTATTTTGTGACAGCATACTTATTTGGCAGCCATATTTGGAGGTTAGATTTGATGGTAATAGCAAAATGATAGCAAAAACAAACAATTCCATTTAAAAGCAATATCTTTATAATATAAAAATAAGCTTTAAAAAATTCATGACTAAAACGGCTTTCTATTGCACACCATGGACCTCCCCCTTTGCCCCTCTCCCCAGCCCTGACCCCTGCATACGAGCACTGGAGACCCCTTTGCTCCTCACTGAGAGGTCACCCAAGTTCAGACACAGCTGGGTCCTCTATGATTACAGTCAGCGCCAATAAGGAAGTGCCACCTCTGACCCCATTACCGTGGCAACCTGTCGGAATGCCATGCACTGTAAACCCAACATCTATAGGCTAAAGACAAAGGAAGAGAGGGGGCATTTAAAGATGACGATTGATAAAACAAATCCATCTCTGACCCCAAAGAGTCAGGTGCATACTATTCCTCTTTTCTCCTTCTTCTTCATCCTTTTCATCCATGCCATTGCCTGTCACTTTCACACAGAGGTTACCATAACTACTTAAAACTTGGGCTGCAGCAATTAATAGGAATATCTGTGACTGCAACTGCTGAAGTCATTCTGTATTATATATATATATATATATATATATATATATACATATATATATATACACACATACATATATACATATATATATATATATATGTATATATATGTATGTGTGTGTATATATATATATATATATATATATATATATATATACACACACACACACACACACACACACACACACACACACATATATATATATATATATATATATATATATATATATATATATTATATATATATATATATATATATTATCTGGAGTGACAAGCCATTTGAGGTCAAAACTGGTTTTATCGGGAAGAAGGCATGACAAAACCCAAAAAAATTTTGACTCCAAAGCTTTATTGGGCAGGACAGCTATAATGTGAAATGGGGAAGAGAGGGGGTAGAGACATTCGGTAGCAGCCAGGAAGCAAACTCACAACACAAAGGTAATAACCACATATATGCAACGCCACACAACCAGTGAGCAC